TTGGACCAAAGCTGTGGGGAAGCTGTGGGCACCACAGCCAGGACTTTGCCCACTCAGAGGAATTACCCAGCTTCCCAAATGTGGGCCTTGGCGGAAAGCTATGCCAACTTCCCTCTAGTGGCCACAAGGAATGGAAAACTTAAAAAACGTGCCTGGTTTGGCATGTCCTGGGGGACAGCTCAAAACAGGTTGGTTAGTGGGTCTGTCCACTGGATGGCAGGGGAGAACTTCGGGAATTTGCCTCTTAGTTTGTCTTTAAATATAGGTGTTGATTTCCTTCAGTATAAGTTCTTCAAATTTGTTAGCCAAAATTTAAGAGACCCACATATACTGAATAGTCTTTAGTAAAAAACAAACAAGCATAAAAAACCTATCAGTTCTAAGTGGTAGGTCTGAAATTCTCAGTGGTAGGTCTGAAATGGTGATTTTTGCCTCGGTTTTGAGAACGCTGTCTTGCCCTGTGTTCTGTCTGTACAGCATAGGAGGTGATGTTCCAGGGTTGTACCTCTTTAGCTTTTCCTAATCCTGTTCATTCATCGATGTCAGGTCCTGTCCCATGATAAAGCTTTTTCTGAAACAGCCATGAATGTATAATCAGTAACACATGGTTTAATTATTTTCTCTCTCCTGCTGCACTGAAAGTTTCTTCAGAGCAGGGGGAATGTTTTCTGCTTTTGATCTATCTGGTGGCCTCCACGTGATAATTTGTGCTTAATACATGAAAGCATAATAGTTGAGAGTGGGGCCAGTTTTCTCCTGGAATCGGCCCTGTTATTTTATAGTCTTGGCCTATGAAGCTTATTGACATCTTTCAGGTTACACATATCCAGGCCTTTCTGGTGCTGGTTTTCTCTCCTGGTGAGCATCAAAACTCTGAAACAAAACTTCACAGATGCGAGGATCCCACTGCAGGCTTACAGAATCGAAACCTCCAGGGGCCAAAGCCTGGGCATCTATATTTTTTAACATTTCCTGAGTGTAATGTACAACTAGGTTTGAGAAAGCCTGCCTTGCGCATATATAAAGGTCACCCCTTTATGGAACTGTGCCACCAGAGGCTTCCCGAGGACAGGCATCACCCGCAGACCAACCAACAAAGGAAACTCACCCATCACCATGGCAGGACAGTGCTCGGTTCATGCCTTGGTGACCACAAGCAGGTTATGTTCCCGAGCAGGACGGCCTAGGGTTAAAATGCATTTGGAATAGGGATTCTACAGTTGAAAGCATTTTTTAAAAACCCTCAAATAGAATGACTTTGAGGAGTGAGGACAGAAGAGAGAGTGGAAGCTTATCCAGAGGAGTGGAGAGACAGAGAGCAAGGCTAGGATCACAGTAGGTGGCCATCTACACAGTGTGATTTCTGAGGCCCTCCTGACTCAAAATTCCATCAGGAGAAACTCATTCATTTGGCTTAAAACTTTGTCTCTTGTTAAAATGGAAATACCTGTGAATCACATCTGACTGGGTTCCTCATATGCTTACCTAAGAGCACGTTGTGATGAGGTGTGAGGAAAGATCTGGAAAAAGTGGGTGGAAGGGTAAGGAGCTGTTGCCAAAGGAGGAAACACACTTAGCAGGGCACCCTGCAGACCACGGCTCCTGGGCAAATGTGGCCAATTTCATTTGCTCTCATTTAAGAGAAAGCTGCTCAAAACTAAGACAGGCCATTAAATATTCTATACTTTCCCCTGGCTACCCTGCCGAGGAGCTCGTTGGCTCACCCCGGCTTATGCTGCTGGCTTTTGAATTGAGAAGAAAGCAACAGGGAGCAGCCTCACCCCCAGGGAGATGGCCTCGTGGTCTAGGCTGGCCCCAGAGTGAGGGCTCTGAGATCCAGCCTGAGGATTTTCCTCCGACTCGCTGTGTGGCCTCCAGCCAGTCTCCAAACAGCTTTAGTTTCCTTGTATGTCAGACCAAGATAAATACCTAACTTCCCACCTCTCTGGGGCATTGTAATTCTTCCTTGCTGCCCCTGTCATTAACATGTGTCCAAAGACCCTAAGAAGAAAGCTTTTGGGAAGTTTTAAAGATGACTTTTACTATTAGCATTATCTTTATGATACTGGAGCTTACGTAGCATTAGGAGAATGCATCGGTTGGTCGGAAATGGATAACACAGCTTCGCTCAGAAGAGCAGTGTTTGTAGTGGAAGAGAAACACAGAAGGGCTTTAGGGTTGAGGTGTGAGGGAGAAAAGTCTACAATTGGTACCAGATGCCATCAGAAGCTAACGACCTGACAAACACCGTCCTCGTAAAACAAATTCCTTAAAAAGGAAGCAAATGGAAATATAAGCTAGTGAAAGAATTTGCAGCAGCTGCCCTAAAACCATTTCTCACTTCATAAACAGGTCTGGGTTTGGTGGTTTTTATTTTTTTGGTCTCGGTTTTATTTCATGTCCCTTTCCCCCTGGTCTGTGCTCCCCAGTCTCACTCTTCCTCCCTTCTGCCAGGGCTGGACAGACTTCTCACACTGGTAGTCACAGCAACAGTAGTTAATGGAACCCCATCCCGGTGGAAGGAGGCTCATTCACAGGGTTTGTTTCGTGTGCGTATCGCAGCCCCGATTTGTCCTCAGTGATGACATGGTGTAGCTGGACGGAGCTGCTGAAAAATAGCACGTGCTATTTCGCGTTAATTTCTTGGCAGTAAAAGGACATAAACCACAACCATTAATGAGTCTGTTTTCCAGTACTTTCCACCTAACACACTGAAGAAATACTACGCTTTGTGGACATCAGGGCATGTAGCAGCCATGGAGCTTGGAGTTCTTTAGCATCACTGATGAGGTGTTCTGATCTCATCCCATGAAGGACAGTCAGGTTTCAGATCCCTTATCCTGAGAGGCTGGATAGAGACTCAGAGACAAGCGTGCATTTCCTGCATTGCATCTGCCATTATCAGCACTGGGTTTGGGGAACTCCTGCTACAATTAACCCTTGCCCCCCAACTCATTTAGTTTTCTCTCCCTCGGGGGTCCATGGGGTGTCTGCTCCGTGGAGTGTCTGCGGTAGATCACGTACCACCACGGGGAATAACCAAGGCTAAAGGTTTTCTTCATACCACTCAACTCCAGTCCCTTCGCCCTGTACCTGAAGAGCTTCCATAAAAGAAGTGAGAATGTCACTGACGTGTGACTTCAGTCCCGTGGGTATAAGATCAGGGGCGGCAACGTTAGCACGTTCAGATCGAATTCATCTCTTTTGGGCTAGTGCTTTTTAAATCAATTCTCAATTATTTCAAGGCAGTATGTGCATAGTCAATGACATTTTATTTTCCACTTTCTTAAAAAGTCACTGAACACTAATACAATTCAAGGGGAAAAGTAAGCCAAGTGATGACGACGAAATTCACTGTAGTTGTTTTGGCTAATATTTAACATCACTGCCGACAGCATCAGGAGCAAGAAAATATCCTCTTGGTCTCTCCCGCTGGTTTATGAGGTCCTTAAGGGCACGATACTTATGCCCCAGCGCTCAGACCAATGCCTTGCCAACAGTGAGTGTTTCTGAAGATGGTGGTCAATCATTGTTTGATAATGATATTTTTGTATTTTAGATCCCCCTCTGCCACTGTAAAACTGAACAGGCTTCCCATCTGACAGCCATTGACTTACTTTGCTGTCTGTTTAGGAGACACTTAGGTACTGATTGCCTTTGGAACAAGATGAGGAAATTAGTTAATTAAAGAGCAGACAAATGCATCTATGATTAGAAGGCAAGGCAGAGTAAAAGAAGTATCAGAAGGGAGTTATTCTTTTAATTTCCCTGGGAGGATCCAAGTGGAACAATACCTGGAGGGGCTTTTTGGAGAAGGAAGGCCTTTTAGGAATCTCAGCGAATTGAGCGAAGGGTGCCGAAGTGGGAAAAGTGAGAAGTATGGGTGGTAATAGAAAACAGGCCACCGAGGGCGGGGCTGCAGTGGGCCATTGGCACTGGAGTGGTGGAGGGGTTAACTCTGGAATAATGACCACCCTGGGGGCTGTGTACCATTATCACCCTTATCTCATGGGGAAGGAGCTGAAACCCTGGGGAAGGAGAAACTCAGCCACAGTCACACAGGTAGTAAATGCTGCAGCCAGGATCCCAATTCAGGAGGCCTCTGCAGTTCAGCCTTGGTGACAGGACAATGCTCTTCTTGCTCTGTCTCATCTTTACTGATGCTACGGCCCAGGCTCAGTGTTCCTGACCTGTGGGAGTTTAACTGTCTCTCCCGCTCCTGGTTGGTTGGTCCTAGAGATCCAGGCGGCGGTCCTCTGTGGAGACGATATCCTGGGTGCACAGTGTCTGGCACGTGGCAGCGATTTAGTATATGCCTGCCCTCCTCGTGCCATGGGCTCCATTTCCGATCAGCCAGTGCTGAGAGTCAGTGGCGTGCATGGCTATGGCTGGTGGTAAAAAATATAGCGGTGCCTCGGCTTTCAAATGTGATCCGTTCCGGAGACCGTTCAAGTTCTGAAACATTCAAAAACCGAGGGATCCAGAGCCCACAGCGAGGCCTCAGGATCTCGCCCTCAGCGGAAGCCGTGGGGCATGTTCAACTTCCCAGGCATGTTCGAGAACCGGAGCATTTCCTTCTGGGCTTACGGCGTTCGTAACCTGAAATGTTTCTCCTGGCCTTTGCCCTGGGTCTGTTCTGATTGTTGGGGGCCCAGCAGGGCTGGCTGTTAAATATTTTGAGGATTGCCCTCCAATCTGTTTATTTCTGGTGCCATCCAGAGCTTCTGGGACACACTGCCCACCTTGTCCCATCATTGTTTCGTCCTGGAAGAGCTATACAAAGTCAGTTACTCATTACTTGCTAGCTGGTACTGTCCTGGTTTATTTAATGTTGCGTGGTTCCAGGTTGCTCAGAAGGAGGTGATGAGTTTAATGTAGGTTTTGGAAATAAAATTGTTCTCTTTGGTTTAGAGGCACTTTCCAGAAAGAACTGCAAAGTCTTGGCCGCTGCCTGTGGGTCCTGGGTCTGTCTAAGATGATTCTCTTTCTGTCACCCCCAGCTGTGTCCACGGGCCTTGTGGGAAGCCAAGCAGCTGTGTGCCGTTGCTGCTGGATCACGCGAACGTGGAGAACTGTACCTCTGGGATCCCAGGCCACATGAAGTGCACTGTCACCTGCCAAAGGGGGTATGCCCTTCAGGCCAGCAGTGGGCAGTACCTCAGGCCCATGCAGGTGAGTTGGAAACCTGTGGTCATCGGGACCAAGCTCCTGGGGAGGGAAGGTCCTCATGCTCCTCTCCCTGGCCCCATCGAGGGAGGGCAGGTGTTTGTCAGCCATCTGAAAGGAAAAAAGAGGACTCTAACCAGCCAGGAGAAGCTTGGCTCTACAGGAGTGCAAGGTATGCAAGGGCCTGAGCTGTTCCCATTGCCCAGGGCCAGCTTCTCTCCAGGTGGGCAGTAGATAGGAGCACCTGTTCCAGTATTCTCCCTGTTCTTTTGTCTTTAAGATGAGAATGCCCCAGTTTGGCCTTGTCCACAATTTGCAGGCCAGATCGGTGGCAGCCAGCTTGTCTGTGGTTCATTCTCCAAACCCCCAGCCCTTATTACAAGAAGGCTGGAGAGAAAGAGCCTGCTTTTCTTCCCTCTGTTACTGAGGTGGGATTCTATCATGATTCTAGCTTTGACAGAATTTTCCAAATTTCTACAAGCTGCCACAGTACCCTTTTCAGGATTTCAAGGGGATTTGGAGGTAAGAGCGTGGCTCAGGAGACACATCTGGAAGGAAATTTTGGCTCCACTGTTTAATAGGTGTGTGATTTTAGGTAAAAACAAACAAAATAAACTAACCTCTTTCAGTTTGTTTCCACATTTGTAAAATAATTAGAACAGAAGTGTTTATGCCGTTGAGTTGTTACGACTGACTGGAAATGGTTTTAAAACTTCGAGCAGAAAGGCACAAAGCCCTCTGTTAAGCTGCCACTGTTATGAGCGTGGATGCTGTATTCTCAATGAAAAATTTTGTTTCCCATCTTTTCTTTAGAGAGCTTTCGGCACTCTACAGAGCAATTTAAATTTGAAATCAACCATTAAGACATAACAATAATATGAGATAGAGGAAGGATGCAGCAGGCCAAAGATAAAGGTGCTCTAGGAGAGACACAGAGAGGTGTGGCGTGATGGGGAAGGTGGGAGTGTGACTGGCAGTCAGATGTCAGTGGTTTGGAAGAAAGGACTTTTTATTCTCATTTTGTACCAGTTGATCAATGGAGAATTTCACTTGCATAGAAATAGTCAGAATTTAAAGACAAAATCGTTGGTTTCAGATGGTTTAGGCTCTGCATGGGGAGAAGCAATTTTAGTATACCTTGAGACATCCTCGGTCTGTGGTGCTTTGGGTGATATGATGCTCTTATCACCTACCTGCTCTTAACCCAGCTTAACTTGCTCTAGAAAAGAGAAAAAATGAAAAAGGAAACAGCACAAAAAGATGCAGGGACTGAATACATTTGTGTGTAGGTAAGGAAGGGGAGAGAAGAAGACGGGGTTTGCAATGCATTAAAATTAAGAGCAAATTCAAAACAAAATGGACAGTATGTAATGAAGCCAGGAGAAAACCCGGGTGATACATGCAGAGTTTGGGAGACATTCTTTAAGTGATCACTGTGGGCTGAGTCAGGCTTCCAGGCTGTAGGTGTGAAAGGGGCAGAGTATGGGCTGGGAGCTGACCCTTTACCAACCATATGGTGGAATCAGCTCTCCAGCTAACCTCTCCTGTCACCCCCAAGGCTGGCCCCGCTGAGGAAATCATACAATCCAGGCTCGTGATCACAAGGCGGTGGGGATATTTGCTTTTTGTTGACACAAGAGCTGAAACTAAACAGAAAAATGTGTCTGGCTTTGAGTTGGGTCCCCCTGGCAGGCAGCAAGGAAACATTGGGAAGCAGGGAGGAGCCAGTAGCCAGGAGTGGGTGTCAGGGGTGACAGGTGCTTTCACTAATCATTTTACCTTTGGCTTTGGCCACTGTGGCCTCCCTGGCGGGATGGCTGGCTGAGCCACAGAGCCATCCTGCCCAGTCTCTCTCTTTGACCTTTGGTAACCCTTTGGCTAGAGTGACAGCTGTGTTTTTCCCCAAAACAAGTCCTGAGCCTCCAGGTCTCTTAATCCCTGCTCAGTCTGTTCCCCTCACTCCAAATACTTTCTGCTCTTCTCCCTGCTTCCCCTCTGCTGCAGGGAAGTCCTGCTCATCCTTCAAAGGCCAGTTCCTGCGCCACCTACTCTGTGAACCTCCCCAACACAGTGTCCTTCCTGCCCAAGGATGGGCAGTCCCTCTCCAACCCCCCCAATGCTGCCTCAGACCCTCGGAACAAGCCTGTATATACGACATTGCTGGAGTTTCTATATATCTGTATTTCCTTTCCTTGTGGTCCCCATTTCCTATGTCTTTCACATTATCATTTGCTTCCCCTGGATTTTATTATTTCAAATCATCGTGGAGGGGGGCAGGATACAACCCATAAAAGCACATATCTTACATTGTCCTTCTGAACCTTCCTCCCTTCGTCTCTCTCCATCTCCTTCTTTCCAATCTTTCCCTTTTGGGTGTTTTCTGAGTTGGTCCAACCTGTGACTTGCTCTGCTGGTAGATTATGAGCTCCTTGAGGGTCCCTTGCTCACCCAAACCTGGTACAGAACCTGGCCCTTCCAGGCACTCAGTCAAGGGGTCTTCATTTATTTGGTGGTGATGAGCTCTAGGGCTACCCTACAGAACCCATGCCCAGGGAGATGGCTGGAATCTCTCCGATTAAACCACGGGTTTGGAAGGTGTCTAATAGGAATTAATTCTCAACTGTTCTTAGACACTATGCACCATCCTCAGTGGAGGTGATCATGTTCAGTAGCTTTATCAGTTGCCTTATCAGTAAATGTCCCCGCAGGAAACAGATGACGTCTCAAAAGCGGGCAATTTGAGAGAATTTAATAAAGGGACTACTTGCCAAGGTGGCGGCAGGGCCTAGGGAAAGTAC